TTGAGAAGTCTCTGATTTCATTTTCTACATGGGTACCCTTTAAGGCTCAATATTGGAAAAAAAAGGGATCAGAGTGTACACTACAACCAATGTAGTGTCCTAACGTAACAGATAAGGAAAAAAATCAGGCTTTGTGAGACAGTCAATGATTTGTCCAAAGTCACACAGATAGTAAATGCCAAATTCAAAACTGAAATTAGGTCTCCAGACTTCTAGTTCAATACTTTCCCTCATTATTCCATGCTATTTTGAATCTACTAGTAAATTTAGGGGCAAAATAAATCTAACGAAAAAATTTAAAAAGTTTCTTTTCTTACCTGACATGGTCCTAGAAGAAAAGGAAACATCAACTGCAGATACAAGGGATGAGGAAACAACACCAGAGGATGTCTGAGTGGCTGCAGCTGAATGGCGCATGTGTCCAGTACAAAGATCACCGGTTACTGGTCACTTGTCACTGGTCACCGGTCACTTGTGATGATCCAAATTTATTTACAGACAAGTCCACGGAAACCCCAAGACTCTACCAAGTGGTAGTAGGTTTGGTAGGAGAATGATGTCACAAGGCAGGCAGTTTCCAGGTATGAGATAGCCAATAGGGAGGTCCGATCCCCAACAGGAAGGCGGGGCTGGGTGGAGAGAGTGTAGCAGAGCTAAAACAACACCTGAATTTCTGAGCTCTGGGCAGGAAATCCTAGAAGACAGATTTACCTCCCCCAGGCTCTTACATTAGGGAAATCGTTGCAACATTTCTTACAGACGTTCATTAATATCATTAACTAACAGTTACCTATATCCTGCAGAGTATTATATTTTATGTATCATATACTTAGAGCTATATATATCTTATTTAATTAATATCCTTAGGAAGGCAAGAGCCATCTAGTTGAACTATTACCGTTGTTCTGAAAACATTTCTGTCTAATTAGTGAACTTATAGCAGCTTTTAAGGAGAAAAAGTAGGGATTAAGAAGTTCTTCTTGTAACTTGGTTAAATAGTAGGGTGAAGTTTGTTGCGTGTACCTTGTGGAGAATGTTGTGGTCCAAGGCTCTTCTCTTTTAGTTTCATCTCCTTGACTCCTACCTTCCTTGGGCTGGGCTAGGCTGGGCCAGGTTGGACTTACATTTCTCTTCTGCTTTCTTTTTTTTTTCCATTATGGGCATTGTTTCTAGGACAAGCCTTGATCTTGCATTCTTACCCTCATGGATGTTACTTCCTGTCAACTTCCAGCAACAGGAGTCTTCTTTTCAGTGCTTGATGCTTCTCAAAATAGACTCTGCCCATTGGAAGCAAATACTAAAGAGCTAGAGACAGCTGTTTGCAAAGCTTTCCTCTTCCAGCCTTTGGTTGCAATTCTTTTGCCCATAATTTGCTGCCTCTAGTTCCTTGGGCCACACAGGTATCCTGCCATCCAGCTCCTTTATATGTGAGAGACATTCTGAATACGGTGCCTTTTTCTTTGCACAGAAGTATATACAGTGCGGCAGTTACTGTAATCTCCTCCCCCTTGCAAACAGCCACTCTAGAATCTTGGACCTCTAGGATTCTCTGTCTTGCATGCTTGGATGCAAGGCCAAGCAAAATGAAGAGGAGAATAATTAGAGAAGGGAGAGGACATTTCGTGGAGAACTGGGAGCAGATAAGGTGAAAGGGCACAGGAGAAAAGAGATTCATGTAGATTTTTTGGTTTCTGTGGGAAACAAGTTGCCACACTTTGGCCTCATTTTGTATTACCAGAACAGACAGTCACAGATGTAAGTAGCTCGATAGTGCAGCAACAGCCATGAATTCTGCACACTAAAGGGAACAGTCTTACATATATTTCTCATTTTGTTTTCTCTCATAGTACCTTATTAATAGCATTCACTGGTATGTTTGTAGAACACAGATTTTTTATAATGCTCTGGTTTTGTTCTCATGGTTCCTTGTCATATTTTTAAGCACTCCAACATTGTAAGACATACTGCATGTTTTTCTCTTGACGATTGTTTATCTTGAAGCATCATGAACGAACTTGACCTGTTGGATTTTGTGGAGAAACTTTAAAAAGCGTCTGTGAAAAAGGCATTGCGGTGAGTCGCATTATGCACCCAATTGTAAGGAACAGATATCTGCCATCAGCCCAACTTGGCCTGGGTTGCCTCTGTTTTAGTTCCCGTGGTTGGTGCTTTTCTCTCCAACCACTCTTGTGACTGTGATAATGTGAGTCAGGGCTGAGTTGCTAATGATTTATATGTGAGGTAAGCTGGTTTGAGGGAGGAAATCTATGGATCTAGTCATTTTCCTTGGTGGTAAGCTTTCAGGGAGGCGTGCAAAGATTGATCTTTCTGGGGACTTTTCTGGTACTAGGAAGATATCCCATAGATGGGACCTCCAAAGACACACATTTAATTTTTAGGCCTGTTTTTCCTATTATGAGATATGAGTTTTTTCACTGATGGGGATGATGCTTATCTGAGAAGAAATTGTGAAAGGTGTTGTAGTATAGAGATGTGGCTTAAGCTTTTAAGTGTTTTTCAAGGTTTTTCCCCTAAGCTTCCTACTTCAGATGGCCTACTCACATGATACTAGTATGTGATGTGAGGCTAACAACTTACTAAATACCTGCAAGCCAGATCAGTGTCTCTTTTCTCTATATTTCCATGGAAATCAAGGGACCCATAGCTACTGCAGGTTAGGGTGGGTGGTGTGAGATTGGGGGAAGTGTGGTAAGACACATTTTGGTATCAGTAAAATGTTTACATATTAAAATATTGAGCTCCAACATTCAATTCTATTTAAGCAAACCCTTAGTTAGGCTTTTCCTGGTTCCGAGCCTATGTAACTTATTTTCTCTCCCTAGTTCCAGCCGTTTAACTTTAGCTTGCAGGTTGAGCATCATCTTAACCTCCAAAGAATCTTACATGTAGGAGGAAGAAACTAAAGAGCTCTGTTTCAACAGTTAGGAACATCAAGCCCTACCCTGACCTAAACCTTTATTCTTACAGTTAGAGTATTGTCTTGTCCCGTATACCCACTTCCTGCATTTTGAACCCATCAGGTTAACTGAGACATGTCTTGGTGTAACATCTCCGGTTCATCTATCCCTGAGGCTCTCCTTAATTCTTCCCATTGTCACATTGTGATTTAATTAAATACTGGAATCCCTCAAACCCTTGCATGGTACCTGAGGCCCTATGGGATACTGGTAGATTTTGTTTGTGTCAAATATTTAGCTCCCTGATTCCCCAAATATCCCTTGCTCCTATATTTTCCATCCCAGCATACTACATACCCATTAAGGCATTGTTTTATTTCATGTTCGACCCACTCCCATCCAGAGGCCTACTCTTTGCTAGTTCTATACTTTCTGGAAACCCTGTTATGGCCAGGTCTGGATTTTTTTGTGTTCCCACGTAAAGCCTGTATCTTTTAGCAAGCTGGAACTATAGGACCAACATAGATTTTCTAGTTTCTGATAGATTTATGTCACAATTTGTACATTGTCATGTCTATAGATATTTGTATCATTTGTATTTTTTGGCCATTACATGCCTATTGGATATTTTTCATAAATTGCAAAAGAATATTTTATGATTTAGCACCAAATTGAATGTGCCTAATTGTAAGTTTGTAAACTATGTTGTGCTAACTTGTATCTTTTTTTATCCAAATAGTAATTTACTACTCTTGTCCCATTTGTAATTATGTGGAAATTTTCAGAATTGTAAATAATGCTTGTGGATTGAAACCTGATTAGACTATAACTGTCCCAGATATGTTAAAGCTAGTGGTCTTTTTACTCATTCATTCATTCATTCATTCAATAATTCTGACCTTCCTGACTCAGTTGACCCAGCTCAAATGGTTGTGAAGATTACTAACAGTGTATGTAAATTACTTTCAGAAATTTGAAACTGAAAAGTAAAACTAACAAAAAACATTTGTTATTATACATAACAGTGGAATTGAGTATGCTATTATACCCTCAGACCTACTGTAGGACATGCTGTTCTTTGCTGTTCCACTTGTGGCAGGATTCATAGGTTTTCTAACAGGTACAGATCCCTATGCCTGATAATGTGAGGAAATGTTATACCTGAGCTCCACTCTTATCTCTCTCAGGCATTTTTTGGTATTGTCTAAAATGTAAATCCATACTGTCAACCTCCAGCATGATACCAGGCACATAATAGAAACCCAATAAATGTTTCACTGTGAGTGGAGTATAAGTTGATAGAATTTTTTTTTTTGTCACCAGTGAGTAACATTTTATTGTAATTATTTCTGAAGTGGGAAGAGAATTTTAAACATTGGAAAACCCTTTCGTAACTGTTATCCCAGTTGGTCCACCCTGATACAATATTTTTGCAAGGCTGATTAGGCAGGTTAGATTTATTGAAAATTTTTCAATTTTTTAAGTTTGCATCTCTTTCATTCCAGAAATTCTATGTCTAGAAATTTATATATAGCTATATACATGTATAAAGATGTTCACATTGCAGCCTACCTGTAACAGAGGACAAAAACAAAAAACAAAACCCCAGACTGAAAACAACTAAAAGTCCATCAATATTGGACTGGTCATATAAATTATGTAATGTTATGCAGCTATTAAAGAGAATAGAGTGGATGTATGCAAAAATTGACCGGGAAAATCACTATCCAAGACAGATTGTAGACTATGTATAGTATGCTGCTCTTATATAAAATAGAGGATATCCGTTACGTACAAATACAGACAAGATACAAAAAGTGTGAATGTAAGCACTTATATATCTGAAACAACCACACAAGAAACTGGGAGAGTTGGACAGCTTTCCATGTCCCCAATTATTGGAATTCGGAAGGGTTCACACAAGAACTAATGGACCTCTGCTACCACCCTCCGGCTAAGGAGGGAATTGCAGCCATCAGAGTCCTCTTTACTAATCAAGCGCCTCAGTCGGCCGGCGTGATGACGTCATCTCGACGAGCGGTGGCGCATGCGCAGTAGAAAGAGGTCCGCGAGCTGAGAGGGCTAACGCCTAGGTGACTGTGGTTCGTGGACTTGTGCTGGCACTGGGGCGGCCGGGTTGGCGACTTTGGCACTCTTGGCGTTGGGTGGGCGGCATATTGGGGGTCACATGAGCCAGTGGCATCATGCCCGCGGGCGCTGGGGTCAGGGTCGCGGATATTCTGGACGTTCGTCGGCCAAGAAGAAGGGCGGAAACCACATCCCGGAAAGGTAATACGTCTTGGCCCCTGGGCGTTGCCGGTGGAGCTCAGAGCCCCTGGGCCTGGCCTTCGTTTCTTGTGCTGTCGCCTGTCACAGTGGCCCCCGCGCGCTGGCCTGTCCGCGCTGTGCTAGGGGGTGCTGGTCGTCTCGCGGCTCAGTTCACAGTAGCTGAAAGGGACGGTGTGTGATGTTCTGATTTCCCCCCATCGTTTTAAATGGGAGGCTCTGGCCATTGCTCCTCGGGTAAAATGCCGAGGGACTGCTTTTTAAGATGGGACTTTCAGTGTTGGGGACACTCCTTAATTACCAAAATGGAATCCCCTTCAATTCCTCAAGCTGTGTTGTTTTGGCACAGAAAATGTGAGTAATAGGAACTGGACCTAAGTTTGAGTGAAAAAATGCACCGGTACCGCCGAATTTTCCGTTGAAACAGTTGATTTGTTTTGTCTCTTGGAATTATAAAGGGCGTGCTGTTGCTTCCTAACCGGTGTTACTTGAGAGATCTACCTCTGTACGTTCAAATGATGAATTTTGAGACTTTGCTCATTTGTGCAGTAAACCCTTTAATTCCCTAAGACCTTCCTTTCCTCCGTCTCATACCCCATTAAGCCCGCTTCAGTTTATCTCCTGAATTTCTTCTGAATCTGTCAACTCTTCCTCAACATCCTAATACTGAACTTGCCTGTCTGTTGCAATTAGGTCCTAACTAGTGTCCATATATCTTGTTTCCTTCCAATCCATTCTTCACACAAGAAACCTTAAAAGCAAGTTGGAACATTGCTCATAAACATCGCTCAAAAACATTGTTTTGAGAATAGAAAACAAACCGTTGGCCTTTAAGAATGCGTGGTCTAGAATCCTCTCTGCTTCTCTGGCCCCATCTTGTGCCACTTTTGCCCTCGCTTTCAATGCTTCAGATACACTGAATTAACCTTAGTTCTAACTCATCTTACAGAAGTCAGTTCAGATATTATTTTTCACTGTGATTCCTAGCATTAAGAAATTTTATTATCAGGTTTTGTATGAGGACTAAAAATAAACTGTGAAGTGAAAAAATTGAGTTTAAACTGTTTCAGTCAACACTCATGTATTAATGATACCTTAGTATCCAACATTGGGCTAGGTTCTATTAGTGATACAGAAGTTCTGGTCATCTCTGGTTTTAGATATCCCTTATTTGTTGAGACCTTTGCATTGTTTTGTTACCTTTTATCTGTTTTCAAGATGGGAAAACAGGAACAAGGGAAGTATAGGTTATTACTAGGTGGGGTTGAATAAGTGGAGCAGCAAAATGCAAAGCAGAAAGAAGAGGGACCTACCCTAGAGGGATATGATTTCCATTTTCAAGGCACATCCATCCTATGCAGGGAGACAGCCTAACATAAAATTTGCCTAACAAAAAATATATTAACAGGTGGAAAGACTATCTCCCAGTTGGACAGCGGATGCCTGGGACTCGTTTCATTGCTTTCAAAGTTCCTTTAAAAAAGGTGAGCAAAAGTTAATACCAGTATTCTTCCAGAAATCTGAATTCACCATATAGAGCCCTGGCTCTCAACCCCATCATACTCCATTTTCCCTTTTTATAGCAAATACTTTTAAATACCTCTTTTACTATCCAGAAATGGGATTCATAGACAAATACAACCAACCTTTGTACTTAATTAAAAAACAAAAAAAAACAATGCAATGCCCTAACTATAAATAAAGAATAAAGTAATTTATAAGAAAGTAATATGTATCTCAGTATGTAAATGTTTGGGGATGACTATACTAGAAATAAAGAAATAGTTACTTGTACCATGAATGCAATAAACTATGGACTTTGATTGATAATGATGTTTCAGTGTTGGTTCATGAATACTAACAAATGAAGCACACTGGTATGGCATGTTGATAATGGGGAAGGCTGTGTGGGATGAAGGAGAGAGGGTATAAGTGGGAACTGTGTACATTTTGCTCAGTTTTGCTGTGAATCTCAAACTGCTCTAAAACTAGTCTACTAATTAAGAAAAAAAGTGTGTGTTGCTGACACTTGAATAACCAAAGAGATCAATGGAACAGGGTACATGTATAAGCCAAATACATGAAAGAATATTTAGCAGTGAAAGCCATCCTTCCTATATGTAGATATTCAAGAAGTTTATTTCTGTGTCTATTTTCAGGCACTCTGCTTGGAGCTGGCAATACAGTGGTAGGCAAAATTGATGTGGTCCCTGCCTTCTGGGAGTTTAGAGTCAGGTTAGGAGACCAACATGAAATAAACAAACCTAGAAATAAATATATAGAAGTGAGCTTATTTTCTTCCATCTAATCTCTCTGGAAGAAAGGATTGTAATATCGCTTGTAAATTCCAGAGGAGGAAACATTACTTTGAATCTCATATGTTAGCATCACAGGGTTTGAATAAATGGATAATATAATAAAGGATTTTAAACACATGTTCTTTCTTATTTTATTCTTTCTGACAGAGTTTTGAAAAGAATCTTGCTCCAGAAGAACGTTTTTCCCCCTTGGATCTTTTTAACAAAATCCAAGAACAGAATGAAGAACTTGGGCTGATAATTGACTTAACATATACTCGCCGCTATTACAAGCCAGAGGTAAATGGAAGCCGTAATTGAAAATGACCTTCTTTCTGATACTGTAATAATTCATAGTAGTTCAGTAGTTATCATCTTATGCTAAGGTGAGTCCTGGCCTTCTCTCGTGGGTTCAAAAAGGGAAGCTAGTGGTTTCCTTAAATACACATTTGTAATTGCTGTTTCAGAATGAGATTAAAGATATGAATTGAACTATAGTATTTGGCAGTAGGCTCTAGATATGCTTAAGAAATTCTATAAGCTTCCATGTTCTATATTTTGAAAATGAAGTAAACTTTTAGTAGTTACAGTAGTATCCTAAAAAGAAAGAAAGGTATGTCCATTATGTCTTTAGCACTTATGTTAAGCAGTTGCCTGAGCATGTTTAAGCATCAGTGTAAAAGACAATTGTTCTCTAAGTTTTATGCTTCCTTTTCCTGATGCCTTCTGATATAGTACAGAAACCCATCTATTCTCTTGGCCCATGTAGGACATTCCAGTGCAAAAGAATTATCCTTCTTCTGACCTGTTCCATGGCCTTGGGAGACAGTAACACCTAATGTCTTTTAATATTTGTAGAGCAGTTTGCCATTTAGAAAGTTCTTTCATATCCATTGACTTAGTTAATCTTCACAGCAATCCTTTGCTCTTGAAGTGGAAGTAGTACTGATATCTCCTACTGAGTGCTTACCCTGCACTAAGCTCAGAGGATAGACAACTACAATTACTAATTTTACAGACGATGAAACTGACTCTCGGAAAAGGAAGAATTGAAATTTCAGCTCTGTTATTGCTTTTTTTTTATTGTGGTAAAATATAGAGAAATCATATTTCTTTTAACCGTTTATAAATATGCAGTTCAGTGGCATTAAGTACAGTCACAGTGTTGTGTAACCATCACCGCTGTCTAGAACCAAAACTTTTTCATCGTCCTCAACAAAAACTCTGTAACCATCAAACAGTAACAACCCCATTTTCCCTCCCACCAACCCTTGGTAACCTCTATTCTATTTTCTGTCTCTGTGAATTGGCCTATTCTAGGTACCTCGTGTAAGTGGAATCTGCAGTATTTGTCCTTCTGTTTCTGGCTTATTGCACTAAACATCGTGTTTTCAAGGTTCATCCATGTTATAGCACGTAACGAAATGCCATTTCTTTTTTGGCTTAGAAAATCCCATTGTGTGTATATAGACCATAGTTTGTTATTCAGCGGTTGATTGACACTTGGTTGTTTTCCACCTTGTAGGTATTGTGAATCATGCTGCTATGATCATTGGTGCACAGATATTTGTTCAAATCCCTGCTTTCAGTTCTGTTAGATGTGCAGCGTAGGTAGTAGCAGAGTTGTTGGATCATAGCCTACTGCCAAATACTAAGCTCTACGCTTAACCTGTGAGAAAGTGCCAAACTGTTTTCTACAGTGTCGTCTTGTTTTTAAACAATTATCACAAATTTTAAGCATATACAAAAGTATAAAACTACTGTGAGTGTTCCTTATATACCCATGAACTCATCCAGCTTTCTTATTTACCAACTGATGGCTGTCATGTTTTATCTATACCCCCACCTGTTTCACCCCATTCCATATTATCTTGAAGCAGCTCTGAGACAACATGTAATTACACCTATACAGTTGTGGTATGTATATTTAAAATATAGGGCTTCTATTCCTTAATATGTTGTTTTTTGTTTTTTTGGGTTTTTTTGCGGTACATGGGCCTCTCACAGCTGCGGCCCCTCCCGCTGCGGAGCACAGGCTCCGGACGCACAGGCCCAGCGGCCTCGGCCCAGGGGCCCAGCCGCTCCGAGGCATGCGGGATCCTCCCGGACTGGGGCACGAACTTGCGTCCCCTGCATCGGCAGGCGGACTCCCGACCACTGCACCACCAGGGAAGCCCCTTAATATCATTTCTTAATATTTAATACCCAGTGAGTGCTCAAATTTGCAGTTGTCTCCTAAATGTCATAAAAAATTGTTTTTAAGAATTTTGAATTAGATCCAAATAAGGTCCACACTTTGCCGTGGATTGTTAGGTCTCTGAAGTCTTGTTTAATCTATAGGTTCTCCCTCCATGTCTCTCTCACTTTTCTTTTCCTCCTTGAATTTTATTTTTAAAGAAACCAGGTAATTTGTCCCATCTAGATGTCGATGATTACATTCCATGTGTTGGTAACATATTCTTCAGTCCTTTTATTTCCTGTAAATCGGTAGTTGATCTGAATGAAGCTTAAATGTTTTGTTTTGGCAAGACAGTTTCATAGGTGATGCTGTGTTCTTCCATGGAGACATATAATTGTCTCTTTCTGTGATATTAGCAATCACTGATGATTCATATCTACATCCATTAATTCAGTTGAGGCTTCAAAAAATGGTGAATTCTATTGGTTTTTTTTCACTTATTAGCTGGGTATATTTCTGTCAGGAGAAGATTCCCCTCATCAACTATTTGGTTGCCCAGTTGTAGAGGCATGATTCTCTTCTTTTATTTAACAGTTTTCAAAATAATGAGTTGATTCACAAATATCCTCCAGTGTTGACCAGTTTTGTAAAATTTTATTTATTCCTATCACCGTGGACTCCGTTACAGTTATTATTCTAACTGAGGCCCTATCTTTGGCCAGTTGGAGCTTCTCAGTGACTCCTGAGTCCTTTTGAAATGACATCAGTTGTTTCTAGACTTTTTCAGTGGTCAGAGCTAGGAATTATGTATGTTTGTTTTTAATATTTTTAAAATAGGTCATAGGTTCCTACTGCTACTTTCCATTTAAATTCAGAACTAGAGAATTTTCACTTATCCTTTTCTGTCTTCTATTGATAGTCTACTTTCTCCCACCCCAAGAATACCAGTTCTCAACAATGCCTGAAATTTGCTTTGTTTCTTAATTCGAATCCAAGTTCTTCTGACTCTATTCTACTACTCTCCTTAAATCACAGCTGCTTTATGCCCTTGAAATGTAAGATAGAACATAAATGTAGGTAGAACTGTTTATATCATTTTGAGTTACATGTGCATTCATTCACATAGATTTGCTTTTCCTTTTGCATGCCTGGTAACTGTCCGTTCTGCAGTTTGAATGAAAATCAAGTGATAATTACTGGTTAAAGCAGCTTTGGAAAAAATGGCTCTCATCAGAATGACTGACATACAAAGTTTAATGTACTCTCCTGGTTTATATTCTGCCTTCTCTAATTAATTTTTTATTCCTTCCCTACAAAGGAAATAATACATATTTTCATGGTTTTGCCTTATAGGACTTACCAGAAACTATTCCTCATTTAAAAATTTGTACAATTGGACATCAGGTGCCAGATGACGACACTATTTTTAAATTCCAGTGTGCTGTTAATGGGTTTTTGAAGGAAAATAAAGACAATGGTGAGTTGTTGTTTTTTTTTTCCTTTACCTGTAATTTGGTATGCATTGTGAGTGGGGTTGGGGATTTTTAACATTTTTAATAGTTCTGACATTAGGCCTGTTGTGTTTGGTAACATTAAGGTGGAAATGTCAGATGGTGCTAATAGAGTACGGTGTTTTTCCTGTTTATGGTCACAAACAATTTAGTTTAGTTTGGAAAGTGATTTTTGTGAGAAATATCAACTGAGCTAGCTTACTTATCTCTTTTTTAAAAATTTGAATGGAAAAATACATTTAAAAAAATGTTCTTTTGTCCTGTTTATTGGTTGAGAGGTGGAAGAAAAGGTTAAGACTCTCGGGTTCTTAGCGTACATAAAAGAGAAAACAAAAAGCAAAGGTTCAGAGTGAGACAGATCCCTAGAAGCAAAACAAAACAGTGGACCAGGTAGAGTGGCTTCCTCATCATATATGTGTTTAAGATATTTTTGCTGCTTTTACACTTCCGGTGCAAGTGAGGAAGAACACTACCACCTCTTACTCTTATCTTCAGACAGGAAGAACTTAAAAGGCTGGTGTTTTCTTGTTTCCGCTTTAAGATCTACTCTGTTGATAGTAGGTGTTAATAGCGTGTGAATTTTAAGGATCCACTTGCCTTTTTCTAGCATCTAACTATCAGAAGGAACATGGTGTTTGCCATGTTTTAAGACTGAGGAATCTTTTGTCTTTGGAACACCACTGACGCCCATGTGAAAGTGTTCATTTTGTCCTCTTTCTAAATTTAGCCTGAGGAGTGTGCACTTTATTAAATCAATGTAACAGACAGTAAATATTCCGTGTATATATAAAATGATGCACGTATATACATAAAACAGGGAGTAGGGGAGAGGGAATAGAGATGGAGGTGGGAAGATAGGGGATAGGAGGCGAGAGAGAGAGGGAGAGACTGGAATTTCAAGATAAATGTTCATTCTATAACCTGGTTGCTTAATGCAGGTACTAGCTCTTAAATATCTTCAGCCCTATTCACAGATCTTCCGTGTACTTTAGCTTTAAAACTTGAGAGGCTTGGCCTGTCCTGTGATAACCAGGGTGTCTAGAAAGGAGGCAAATTATCTGATTTGTTTAAACTGTAGTCACAGAAATGTTACCTCTTAAGATGTTAGGGCGCAGCTGCCGGCCTACTCACTTCCTCCAGGCTCCTTTGTGTGTGTTCTGTCTGTTCCGCGTGGGCTAGAAGATCCTTACAAGTGCATGAGAACACGTTTGTAAACCTTGATTGTTCACATGTTATACCAAGTGTAGTCCATTGCATATGCTGACTCCTCTGTGGGTCTTCTGCATGCAGTGGGCTAACTTCACCATGCTGTCTGCCATTGCAGTCTCATGACCTTAGTTATGATCCATTGGTGGCTTCCTCTGCTATAAGCCCCTCCCACAGATGCCAGGCTCACTGATAATGAGGAGGAGACTATACTATGCACTCCCTAGAATTGGTAGAGACTCAGAAAATAAATTGTTTCAGTAAACACCGAGAGCCTTATAGGTTTGTTGTTAGGGCACGGGGATACAGAGGTGAGTAGAAGTCTTTGTTCAGTAGCAACTTACAGTTATCTAAGAAGATAAACATGTAGTGACTATAAGTGGGTTAATTATAATAGAAGAATCAAGTGCAGCAGGAATATAGAGGAGAAACTGAGGAAGGCCTGACTGAGGAGACAGCATTTGAGCTGTGGGGGAAGAGGATTTTGAGTGCTTGGGGAAGAGGATTTTGCCAGAATGAGGAAAGGATAGCCCAGGTATTGGGAACAGGTACAAAAGGCCCAGGGCTTGAACTTGTGCTCTGGAGGGGCAGCCTCTGGTGTGACTAGAGGGTAGTGTGAAAGGGCAAAGAATTCATACATTCATTTCAGCAAATATTTGTATAACACCTTCTAAGTTGAAGGCACTGTTCTAGGAAGTAGGAACAGAACAAAGTTCTTGCCCTTACGTACTTTCCATTCTAGTGGGGGAGAGAGATAAATAAATAAGTAAATATATGGAGTGTCAAGTGGCGGTAAATGCTTTGGAGAATAACAAAAGAAGATGAAGAGGTGAGGGAATGTGGTAGGTGATCAGGGAAGTCCCCTCTATTAAGATGTTGATTGAGCAGAGCCTTGAAGTGAGAAACAAGCCATTGGATATCTGGGAGAGTGGAGATGGGGTGGGAGGGTGTGTTCTGAAGCAGAAGGAATAGTAGGTGCAAAGTCCCTGAGGCACGACTGTGCTTGGCATGTTTGAGGAATAGTAAGGAAGCCAGTGTGGCTGGACAGGGTAAAGTGAGTGAGGGCAGGGCAGTAGAGAATGAGATCAGGGGAGGCTGGCAGGGCAAAGGAGGGAGGTGGATGATGTAGGTCCTTGTAAGTCATAGTTTGAACTTATAATTCAGTTGGAGAGACACACTGATATTTGTTTATAAAGAGTTCTCATTGCTATGCTAAAAACTTGGGCTTTATTCTGTGCTAAGTGAAGATTTTTAAGCAACAGAGCAATCCAGCCAAGTTTATATTTTAGAAAGATAACATCTTCGATGTGGAGGATCAGTTGAAATAAAAGAGATTGCTAGAATTGTAGGGCGGTAGTAATCCAGGCAGGAGATGACAAATGCCAGACACCACCTAGTCACAGACATACCTTTTGCAGAGATCAGCTCCGTGTTGTTGTTTTTTATTTACTTTCTCTTATAATTTTTTTTAAGTGCTGGACCACGAAACACTGTGGCATAGTTGGAAAAATCTGAGACTCGATTCTAGTCTTTTTTCTCTTTGCCTGCTGTGCAGCTTGGGCTTACGTCTCAAGCCTTACTTTTTCATTGTGAAATAAGAACGGTGCTACTTAACCAAGGTCTCCACAGGCACATAGACCCGTGGCGTGTGAGGAGCAGTGAATGAGAGAAGGAATGAAAGTGCTTTGGGACCCCAAGAGCCCTTCAGAAACCGTTTGTACTTTTTAATATTGAGCATTAAAAGTGAAGGCATTCCATTTGTTTCACTCAAAAACAAATTCTCTTCTTCTGATAGCCTGTTTTTTTTTTCCACCCCCTTTTTCTATAGTCAGATCAGTTCCTGATGGGCATTCTCCAGTCCACACTATTGCATCTGATTGGAGGCTATGCAAAATTTCCCAGAGACAATGAATTTTGACTTTATAGTAGTTAATTCTTCATAGTACATTCCTTCAAAAACACTCCTTCAGAGTTTTTCCTTTTCAGGATAGTGGTAGTGTTGTGGTAACTAATAAATGCTACTCTTCAGAAAATTGTATAACTTTTTTGTAGTGTATCTACTTCGCTTACTTAATTCCATATTCCCTGTTTTATAGACAGACTTATTGGTGTCCACTGTACCCATGGTTTAAACAGGACTGGCTACCTCATCTGCAGGTGAGTTGCCAACCCCAAGAGGCAGACCATGTTTAAATTGTTCTGTTTGCAATAGTAATGTAAGCTAATGTAAGCTGAATGCAAAAAATGCAGTCAGAAGGGCTTCCCTGGTGGTGCAGTGGTTGAGAGTCCACCTGCCAATGCAGGGGATACGGGTTCGTGCCCCTGTCTGGGAAGATCCCACATGCCGCGGAGCGGCTGGGCCCGTGAGCCATGGCCGCTGAGCCTGCGCGTCTGGAGCCTGTGCTCTGCAACGGGAGAGGCCACAACAATGAGAGGCCCGTGTACCGCAAAAAAAACAAAAATGCAGTCAGAGAAATGTATGAAGTTTAAGGCAATTTTGCCCCCTACTCAGAGGTTACCACCAGTAATAATTTAGCACATATTTTTTCAGACGTAAAAAATGCAGATATAAGCATATACAATGGTCCCTTGGTATCTGCAGGGGATTGGTTTTAGGGCTCCCCATAGATACCAAAATCCTCGGATGCTCAAGTCCCGTATGTAAAATGGCGTAGTATAGTCGGCCTCCCATATCTGCAGGATATGGAACGGTTGGATATACAGAACTGACAGTACATGTGATTTAATGGTATAGTATTTAGACATTCTGGTTTATAATTTAATATATGGTGGACATCTTCCTATGAAAATATTTGGAGACCTCATTCTTATTTATTTATTTATTTATTAATATGTTTTTCCTCAAATTTGCTTTATGTAGTTGGATATAAATTAATGAACAAAAACTTAAGCAAGATACATGTAACAATTTAATAGAACCTGATACTCTAATTCTTTCAGTTTTTCTCAAACTCACCATGGGGCTTGTAAGAAGATTAACCAACATGGATACTACTACAGTTGAATGTCAAATCTTTAAGTGCTTATGACATACTAAATTCTTCTATAATGCACTTATGAAGAACCCTTCAAGAGACTTGTGTTTTGTACGTAGAAAAGTGTTAAGAGTCAAATATTCAACTCAGTATAAAATAATAAGAAACACTTCTGATTTGTTAGGTTGAGATTGCTTCTCCTTTTACTAATGAATGACTTTTTTAGCTATAATATCACTGAGCTGAACAAATATGTCACCTTCGAGTACATAAGGAAAAATAAACACATGCTAAATGGGTAAAACATTACAACTACATCTTTAGTAGCCCATCTGTACTTCTAACACTTCAGAAGCTTAGAGATTCAGAGTGTTCTTACATTAATTGCAAGAAAAGTATAAAGGAGAAATTCCTTCTTTTTTGAGATCACAACTGTGAAGTCGTGATTATACAAATTCTTCATTTGTGTGCAAAACATGAAACACATTTGTTTTAATTCTCCCTGCTTGCAATTCAGTCAACTAGCAGGACTTTCCTTCCAAGAAACAGACAGATGTGTTTTATATAACTTCAGTAACCTCAGCACTACAATAAGAAGACATGCAGTATCCTTTTGCTGTGGTTGAAGACAACAGGGAAGGAGGTCACAGGAAAGAATAAATCAAAATTGTTACAACTGAGAAACTTTTGTCAGTTTAACCATGGTGCCACTTTCATTTTTACATAAGCATGTTGGCATAACTCAAGCTCAATAAATCAGAATTCTTAGTATTTAAAATTTACCTTAACTTTTAATTATCACCATGTTAACAACCAAAATAATCAGATGAAACACATAAGAAAGGGTAATGTTAAACCCCACTTTACTAGAGTTAGTTTCTGGACACATTAACTCATTTTTTTATAGAAGAGGGACAGTGAATCTCAGTTTGTTTACAAGCTAGGAGATCACTTTGAACTCTGCATTTCTTAACTGCAAACAAATATAGCACTTGTAACAGGTTATAAATAAACTGGTTTTCAAGCACAGAGCCAGCCCCAACAGTAATAGTACACTATTTAAAAAGACCTAAGGCAATGAATTCCATTTCCAATGGAAAAAATGAATCATATGGTCTTGGACAAACAATTCTGATGGTTTACTTAACAGTCACTTAGTAGTTCTTCCTTGCTCATAGAACTTTATGATTTTTTTGAGGAGTGAAGCATTCAGCTTTAGTGGGTAAATCCTTGTTAGCCTAAGACAGTCATTATTATATCCCTCTTTGCCATGAATTGTCTTATGAATGGTCATATCAGTCTGTTTTGGCAAATGAGTAATTAGGGGAAGGCTGTTACTGTGCTTATGAGAATGATATTTTTCTCTGAAGAAAGATAAATATGCATTAGGAAAATGACCGTTGGGACTCTTTTTCTGCTTCCTCCTTGTTTTGTGAGAATATGATACTTGGTTTTACAGCAGCCATCTTGTGACCATGAGATGATTATATGCCAATAACGACAAATGGTAGATTAGAAAGAACCAGCAAAGACAGAAAACAGCAACATCAATAGTAACAACAATCACAGCAAAAGAACAATGGGACCTTAACTTGTGGAGTTCCTATAAAATAAAAAATAAATGCTCTATGTTTATTCTAAAAACAAAAGAACTGTGCAAACAAGCTTAAAACTACTTTTTTTGTGCCAGTGTTATAAAATGTAGCTTTTAATAAAAACCTTGACCCAAATGCCAGCAACTTCAGAAAAGAATTTGGGTAGGGGGAAGAAGAAAGTTATCTCACTTAGGAAAAACAACCACTATCTTTCTCCTAATCTTCGACACAATTGAAACACATATAGCTGCTGTAACACTTTACACAACTCCTATGTACTGGAGCAATAACAAGATCTAAATACAATTATATTTTTAAACACTGGGTGAAGGCTTTACATAAAAATAGCATCCTACTTTTCCCCATAAATTTCTAAAATATCACGTACTTTTCCCCAACATCTGCAGCCGTTTAGGAATTTTTAGGAAACTTTCATGCATTATCTTAATTCCTAATTCCTGGATCTTTGGGCTCAGCGAGAAAAGATCAAAACCACCAAAAATGATGGTTCATTTGAAGTCAGGTCAGAGACACTGGCTCAGTTAGTCTCGTAGGACAAAAGCAGTGCTGCATCAACTGTCTCCATGCAGGAGGGGCACGTGAAGGATCTCATCAGCCAGTCATCTGTACAGCCCAGGTGATCTGCATACACAGCAGAAATCAAATTGGGTTGTCATAAACAAAGTCCATCACACAGATCACACACTCCCGGATCTTTTTTTCTAATATTTATTTTATTTTATTTATTTATTTGGTTGCACCGGGTCTTAGTTGCAGGCAGTGGGCTCCTTAGTCGTGGCATGCAAACTCTTAGTTGCGACATGCGTGTGGGATCTAGTTCCACGACCAGGGAACGAACCCGGGCCCCCTGCATTGGGAGTGCGGAGTCTTTAGCCAGTGCACCACCAGGGAACTAGAGAGAGGCTTTTTTTCTGATCCATTTCTTCCAGGGTCATAAACTCCTTTAGGCTGATGCTGTATGAGGCCTATTCTTTCCTATTTTGTTCCTCTCAGCTGAGTTGCTAGGTGAGCCTGGCTAGGTGTTGGATGATAGACCAAAACTGGAACTTGATCCAGATACGGCAGCAACGGCTCCTGATCCAGCTCCGTCCCCTTGCCGAAGCTAGCCCAGTCGGACTGAGACTTGTGAGGCAGGGAGATGTCATCCGAAGTGGGGGACTTAAGGCATTTCCCCATCTTCCAGGGCTTGAGTGTGTGATCTGTGTGCTGTTTTGACAGTCTTCCAACCTCATTCTTTTTTAAAATAATTAATTTATTTATTTATTATTTTTATTTATTTATTTTTGACTTTTAAAAATTTATTTTTTATACAGTAGGTTCTTATTAGTTATCTATTTTCTACATATTAGTGTATATATGTCAATCCCAATCTCCCAGTTCATCTCACCACCACCGACCCCCGCCCTGCCCCTCTTTCCCACCTTGGTGTCCATACGTTTGTTCTCTACATCTGTGTCTCTATTTCTGCCTTGCAAACCGGTTCATCTGTACCATTTTTCTAGATTCCACATATAGGCATTAATATACAATATTTGTTTTTCTCTTTCTGACTTAGTACACTCTGTATGACAGTCTCTAGGTCCGTCCACGTCTCTACAAATGACCCAATTTCGTTCTTTTTTATCTCTGAGTAATATTCCATTGTATATACGTACCACGTCTTCTTTGTCCTTTCATCTGTCGATGGGCATTTAGGTGGCTTCCATGACCTAGCTATTGTGAATAGTGCTGCATTGAACATTGGGGTGCATACGTCTTTTTGAATTATGGTTTTCCCTGGGTATATGCCCAGCAGTGGGATTGCTGAGTCATATGGTAATTCTATTTTTACTTTTTAAGGAACCTCCATACTGTTCTCCATAGTGGCTGTATCAGTTTACATTCCCACCAGCAGTGCAAGAGGGTTCCCTTTCCTCACACCCTCTCCCGCATCTGTTGTTTGTAGATTTTCTGATGATGCCCATTCTAACCGGTGTGAGGTGATACCTCATTGTAGTTTTGATTTGCATTTCTTTAATAATTAGTGATGTTGAGCAGCTTTCCA